TGAGAAGTCAAAAATGTATAGTAACAACAACATTCGATAAGTCACGTGATTGTCACATATTTATTCCTACACATTTTGTCGATTCTACTAGCGATATCGCTATTCGAATCACTTTCTCTAAATGGGCTAGTCTGTACTTTTAAATTTAAAATAACATAACTAAATCTAAGTATCTAAGTATGCTTTATTTATTTACACTGGGAACTAGTATAATACAGCTTTTAACATACCATAAGATAAAAATTAAAAAAAAAATTGACGTCATTAGAAACATACCTGATCTTCCAAGAATATCTGATTGGCCTTGTGAACCAAATGTTCCACAGTGATCATCCCCCCCAAGTGGCTGACGGCTTTGTACTCCACCACCAGCGTCAGCACCATCAGCGCCTCCACCACCAGCTGGCGGTACTCCGGCTGCGGGATGGAGTTCAGCACCGTCTCCACAGCCAGCGCGAACTTCAGCTCTCCCGACGTCATCTCTTGGGTCAAGTTCGGTTGCAGAACTTTACCCTGAATGACCAGACCTTGGCACTGGAATTAATAAAATGGCTATATTTATACATTTCGATATGCATAATTAAAAGCGTCAGTGGCTCAAGGGTACTTGACTCGTAATCCACAGGTCTTAGGTTCAAATTTCGCCATGTCTCAGTACGATTTCCAATTACTTTCTAATTTCATATGTACATAATTTACTTGAAATTCTTACGGCGAAGCAAAATATGATGCCTGCACATATAGGCGAAGAAATTCAAAGATATTATGAAGTCAACCAACCCGCACTGGGCCAGCGTGGTTGATTATGACTAATTTAGGATAGGTTTGGAAACCCTTCAGTGAAGACGTGTAGTAAGCTGGTGATATAGTACGTTACCCTCTCTAACACCCCCCACACGCGGGGATAGAAGTTCCTAGGCACTCGGTTAAGGGCTCCGTCCAGTCTGCGCCGGCGCAGCCACTGACCTTGACGATCTTGTTCCACCATGGGCACTAAAGAAAGAATAACTACATATAATTCCCCTCTCTCTCCCTCTCTTTCTTAATGAATAGCGGGCTCCATCATTATTTCGATCATTTCGCCAACGTTAAGATAATTGAAAGTATAAAGAACAAGATTAAAATTTTGAATAGCAAACCCAGAATGCTTGACAAATATCCGGGAGCTGATGATATCAATTGAGCCACTGAAATAGGACAACTTATAATTCTTTATTCGACAATAATAAAAAAAGAAAAGTACAAAAATGGTCTTAATATGTACAATTTAAGACTTATTTTACTTAGTCAAATTGCAAACTGACAGCATTCACAATAAATTGCAAGTAGCGTATTTTAAACTTACCATCCTCAATTCCGCCTTGTAGAGACTGCCCTTCTAATACTATTTGTGACTTCTTTCCGTATCGATTCGATTTGTTACTCACAATAGAGAAGTTTCCACGACCTACTGAAATAAACATTCTACATTACTAGTTTTATATAGTTAGCAAACTAATAAAATAACATAATAACAAGGTAAAATAGATTAGTGAGAGAAATGGCTTTAATGTACAAATGCTATACCTACTATAAAATATCTAAATAACAAATTTCTAAAGATAAATGTAGTTTTTTTCGAAGAATTGCATTTTTAATGATTTTCTGTTTGTGGTTCGATTAAAACTATTTGTTAACTAAATATGCGATTTAAATATTCGCATGCTTAGCGGAAGAAATGCAAAGGGACATGCACAAAGGGGATGAACAAATTAACATCGACGAATGGCGCTCGACACAAACATAAGCGAAAGACAAACACGGGGATTGTAACTCGCCTTTGTCCTTATTGATTTTTTCTTTTATAACAAACAGGGAGTTTGCTGCAAATAAAACATCACTTCTTAACATGAATTATACAAATATTTTAACCTCGATATATGTACTTAATACAATTATAATCATGTAAGAAATTAATACATCTAAAATACTCCGCCCACTTTTTTACAGGTTTCCAATGACTAAGTAATTCCGCGTGGATTTAATAATCGGTCCAATAAGTATATTTATAACTATCTTGATCTGTACTAATATTATAAAGAGGAAAACTTTGATTGTAATGAATAATGAATAATGGCTCAAAAACTACTGGGCCGATTTCAATAATTCTTTCACCGTTAGAAAGTTAACAATAAAGAAATGAAATAATATTTCATTTCTTTATTGTTATTTTTAAATTTTACGCGGACGGAGTCGCGGGCAAAGGCTAGTATTACATACAGAAAAGTTTTGTACTTTTGTACATAGTGAAATAACTCAAAAAGTACTGGGCTGATTACAAAAAAAACTTTCGCCAATAAATATCTACGTTATCAGTGAGTAATATAGGCTATATTAAAAAAAAATATTTCCGCGCGAACAAAGACGCCAAAAGCTAGTTTATTTTGGTGGATAGGAAAAGTTTCCTTGACTTACCGCTGTTGATAGCAAACTCCTTTCCGCTAAGTATGTGGTACAACAAATTCTTCATCTCGAAAGGTGACAAGTTGAGCAGATGCTCGGAAGCCTCTTCGCCGTCGCACGACAATGTCCGCGATAATTCTGTTGCCATTACCTACAAAAAACGTTTTAAATCGACATTTTTTTTCACAATTACGTCCCTAACTTTCTTCATTTATCTAGGTTACTAATAGATTTAATTAGGTTACTATAGGAAAAAAAATGTAAAACACATGACACATTTAATGCGTGCGAAACCGAACTTTCGAGCTTGCGCTCTGTTTCATCCGAATCCGCTACCTTTTAACCGAAACTTATATTCCACGGTTTCAACAGATATAAAGTTTTTGATTTTCGTTAAAAATTGTAGGAATTAGATTAAAATTGACCCGTAACACGATAAATTATTCCACTTACGGCTATATCTTATTCGAAACCGAAACTAAGACCGAAACTATACCGAAATCTAAAGTTCGGTCGAGAATATTTTTCATATCTAACTTCTAACTAATATTATAAACGAGCTGTTGCCCGCAACTTCGTCCGCGTGGTATTAGAAAACATACGAACTATGTAAATTATAAAAAGCCACGTATCCCTCGGGAACCGGACATTTCTCGGGGATGAAGCTTATCCCATGTGTACTCCAGACTTTGTTTTATATCTGTGCCAAATTTTAATAAGATATGTTGAACCGTTGCAGAATAATCGAGTAAACGTTAAAAAACGAAATTAATGAATCCCACGGAAACCTTAACTATTCCCGGGATAAAAAGTAGCCTATGTGTTCTTCCAGACTATGCTCTAAACCTGTGCCAAATTTCACGGAGATCCGTTCAGCCGTTTAGGCTACAAACGCTAAAAAACATCCATCCATCCATCTAAACTTTCGCATTTATAATATGGATGGATGAATGGATGGATGTTTGTTAGAGTTTGTAGCCTAAACTGCTGAACGGATCTCAATAAAATTTGGCATAGACATAGAGCATAGTCTGGAAGAACACATAGGCTACTCTCTTTTGATTTTTTTTAATTCCACGCGGACGTTAACGGGCGAAAGCTAGTCTTTTTATATTTTTGTTGGTTTTAGAGGGTAAAAGGGGGGAGGAGGCTGTTTGTGTGTACCTGTATGATAAGTCCGACCCTCAGACGCAGCATTTCTAGGAAAAGCTGAGGCTCGGTGCGGATGAACATGGCGAGGTAGACCAGCAGCTCCTGCGTCAGCATGGCCGTGCTCTCGTCGTCGCCGTACGCCTGATACACGTTTATACTAAAATATAACCTATCACAAGCCCATAAGGTTCATTATAAAATTTAATGTAAGTATGGAATGGTGAAATTATAGGTATGTCTTGCCTGATATAAGTTGATTTCTGTTCAGTTCTTTATATTTTATTTAACTGCAAAGCCATGTAAAAAATAACTCAGTTTATATTGGACATTGTAAAAGTTTGAAAGTATAAAATTTTAGTTATACGGTTTACCTGCCAAATATGTGATATAGAATTCCTAAAGATTAGATTAGTGCAATTATCTAGTAATTTGTAGTATATTTTTAAAGTGAAAAACTACAGAGGATTACCTTTTTATTTTCACTGTCATGATTTTCTCTTCGAAATGACTGCATGAAACAAATATAACGATGAATGAGGTGAACTTAATTGTATAGTAGTGAAATTGCTTGTGTGAATGTAAAAACTTGGTAAACACCACCTACAGCGCCATCTATTTGTTTAATTAAAATCAGCGCCATCTATTATTACGAAAACGAAACTTTTTTTTTTAAATTTAGTATTGTTTTTTTTTTAAGTTTTTTACTAGTTCTACATTATATTATACAGACCCTGGCACTAAAATTTGCGAAAAATATTCGTAACGTTATCCACAAAATTAGTATGAATATTGCACCCAAAGTCCAAATCTAATAAAAAAAATTAGTAAAGAGTAAGTTCTCGCACATTTTCGTCCTTACTCCCTTAATATAAGACATATATTTATTAGAGGTATAAAATTCCTTACCAAATGTATAAGCTGCCGTAACTCATTCTCGGGCAGCGGCGCCGTGATGGTGTGCTCGTTGCTGGGCGGCATGCCCACGGTGATCTGCTTCTGGCGCACCAGCAGGTCCGTTACGGCCTTCGCGAGGTCCTCCACGCGTTTGCCCAGCATGCCCGCGGTATGTCGGACTAGACCCCAAAGCTTCTGAGTGCATGCCTTCTCGTATAACGCCTTCAGAAGCTCCTTCACCGTTACTGGTTTACCGCTTTCCAGAATACCTAGGAAAAAACATTTTTTCTTAAAATCAAAACAGTATCGGTGTTAGAGTAGGGGTGCTAAAAGTCTGCATTGCATAATCTAATGTTACTCTGTTATGAAACTTAAGACATGACGTAAGAAGTATCGCTAAACCCGGCACTGGTGAATAACTTCATGCGCAGTTCATACTAAGCCAGTACACTTGGTCAGTAGGACTCCATAACTGGACTGTCAATCAATTGGCGCAGTGTGAACCGTAACTGGCAGCAACGAGTCCTTATGACTCGCCCTCGTAGCTATCCAACTGTACTGGGTAAATGTGAACCGGACAATAAATTATAAAAAAAATCGATAGAGAAGCTCCAATACATGAGATAGCGCCATCTATTATCTGAATTTTAAAACTAACATTTTAAATTGTAATTTTCACATTTTCCTATATAAGAACACACTTTAATTTAATTTAATTTAACATACTAAAGTCAAACCTGTATTAAATTCGAGTCCCTGTGTATCCACAAGGTATTGTAAAATATCGCCTTGTTCGTCCAAGCTCTCAGTTTCTCTCAGCATGGCGATCAGCTCGTCGGTCTCCTGCTCCGCGTACACGACGTTCTGTGACTCGGATATTGTTCTGTTACGAACTATTGAAGATATGTTTTTATTTACTGCGCCTGAAAAATACAAATAGGGCAAAAACTAAAAAAAAGGTCCTGAAATATTTTTATTCTCATTATTCATAATAATGAAATTTGTAGTCTAAACTATTATTATAAAGAAATAAGATTTGTATTTTTCTATGAATTGATATCTCGAAAATTACTATTACCATTAAAAAGCTACGTTTTCGATGAGGAACGAAGTCGACGGCGACAGCTAGTATTTAATATATTTAAATTATTAAAATTAGTCATATTTTAGCACTTAACATTCCAATTTTATTTAATTTACCTTCTTCTTTAGGTGGCGAAGGCGTTTGCTCTTTAGTCACTTCAATAGTAGGAGGCACGATGCCTAAACTAGTTGTGGAAGTTCCTCTGAAAAGTTTTTAAAAAACAATATTCACATATATACGGTAAGTATAAAGTACAATTTTAGCAAATTAGTAGGACTAGATTATAGGATATTTAATACTGTTATGAAGGATATCAGTACTGCGCTGGAGGATTGGCGCAACACTACATTATTGGCATATACGTCCCATCCCTATCTGACATCTGTCAATCTCATTCCGACGTATCAGAATAGCGCGCCATTCTGATGGGGTTAGTAGCACGGAGTGTTTAAGTTATACGTTAATACAATTAAAAAAAAAAAATAAATAAAAATACGCAATTATACTTACTTAGTAATAGCTCTTCTTTTAGCGTCCTCGGGTGAAGGACTCCGGCCCAATATCGGATCTACTTCCAGCCAAGACGGCTTCCTTTCCAGATGGGGACCCACGTATTCCCCTTCCATGCCTAGAGTTTCCGCTAAAATTTAAGATTAATGGTTTTAAATAAGTAAGTAATTTTATCTTTATAATTTAATGTGTGAAATTTTAAATGGATGGATGGGTGTTTGTTGCTATATATCTCCGGAACGGTTTAACGGTAACTTGGCAGGGATATAGAGTACAGTCTGGAAGAAACCATTAGATACTATATAATTTTCTATTTTATTTTACAGACAGATTCGCAGGTAAAAGTAGTCTATACAGAAAAATCTATAAAGAAAAATTTTGGTAATTTTGGATTTTTGTATTGAAAAAGCTCAACGAATGAGCCGATTTCAAAAATTCTTTCACCGTTAATCCTACGATATCAGTGAATAAAATAGGCTATGCTTTTTATTATTTTTTAATTTTACGCAAACGGAGTACCAGTCTTTTATTAATACTATGTAATAAACTAATTTTAGTTTGTTACTCACAGTCGACATTGATGGAGCGTGTTTTCTTGATAGCTCCCCTAACTGACATGCGCCTGCGCAGCGGCTTGGTGTTGCGCGCGCCGACCGGACGCGACAGGAAGCTGATCTTGTTGCTGAACGACTTCAGCAAGTGCTCCTCCAGGTAACTTTGCACTTGGGGATTTAATTCTGGTAAAAAATACAACATTAAAACATATACTAGGTATTAGATAAATGCTGTTCCCTTGCATATTCCGCATGATATTATTAAAATTTCATTTTATTGTCTATGTATGGAAATTCATTTATCAAATTTTAAAACTTAAATACTGAAATGACTACGAAGGCCTTTGCCATTGGATAACAATTACTGTTACCAATCTGGATTCTTTGCTGCTATTAGCTTGATCACATGACGACTTTCCCCATTTATTCACCTTGTACACATATGACATGCTTTAGGATATATATTTTCACACTATTAAACTTAGAGGGTAAATCAATTGGAAAAAACCTTAATGGGGAAAAGGTTAAACTACAATGTGCCAACATTAAGGACATTTTCAATTGATAATTTGACAAATGTAAACAATAAAATATACATTCATTACATTAGTACTATAGATGGGTAACTTTGACGAACCAACTCGCAATAAAGTTTTTGATATGTGACTTTTTGTTTATGAAAAGTGAAAAATATTTGTTGTTTTAATATACTGTAACTGCTGGATTCATACTTACTGTCAGGATAACCTTCCTCCTGACTGCCCAAGAAGCTCAGATTTGTGATAGCCGAGGTACTCAAGAATTCACCGAGGTTACCCAATGTTACTCTAGTCCCGTTAATGTAGCCCGATTTCAATTTTTTCATAGTCGTTATCATAGCCATTGGAATTTTGCCTTGATCTGAAAATTACCAAAATTAAAGGTTATCTATTTTTTTTGTTAGAAATTTGGAAAAGCCTTAAAAGCAGGATACAAATGGTTAGTAGAAGACATTTCTTGTGTATTTATGTTAAAAATATTGAATTAAAAAAGAATTAAAAAGGTGTTAAAAAAAATAAAGTAAAACAAAGATTTTAAACATCCGCAACATACATCTGTTTATTTTATATTGTCACAAAATTTATGAATATTATGAATTGTGATTTAAATGTAAAATAGGTAGTGTCTAGCGTTTAATTTTAATTGATATCTGTAAAATGACCTTTTATATCTTTTTTCATAACATTGATTATTAGAGCTTCTTTTTTGTTTTGTTTATACATATTTTATTCACAGAAATAAGTATTTTGATTTTTTCTGGCTTTTCCTTGACGAATTTTAAATGATAAAAGTGACGTAATAAAATTAATACAAGCACCTAACAAGATATTAATCGAGTCAAAGAATGTTTAGGCAGAATTAATTAGTTTAATGGTAGATAATAAATGTTGATGGTTATTTTTTCATTTGTCTATGGTTACACATGTTTACCTAACAGATATTGTGTGGCCAGCAAGGTGATAGTCGGCCGGCCGAGCATCTGTTTCCAGCTCATTCCGAGAAATGCGACGTTGGCAGTGAAGGTGCTGGCTAGCAGCGCCGGGTCGCGCGACATGTAGTACTCCTCGTAGTCGAAGTTCTACGCGACATCAACGCCATTTTATCACGTAACACACAAGACAAGACATAGACAATAGTATTTTTTATCTGTATCCTTTTTGACAGTTTAGTTCAAAAATTATTTATATACTGGTTAATTTACTACATAGGTTATAATTAACGATAGACAAACATTTCTACGGCTACAATCAATGTTAATTATTTTCAAGACTCTTAGTATTGCTTGTACATTCCACAAAACATGCGATGTTTTATCTACACATTAAATTGGACGGGTAAAACAGCAAGCCATTCATATATTCCATATAACATAATAAATAAGTACCTAATTGCATTTGATTCAAAGTCAAGACAACAAGCGGTCGGCCGAGAAGGTTTTGCCAAGAAGACTTCAAGAAATTAATTTCCGCTTTGAGAGTATCAACCATCAGCTCATAATCAGAAGCAATGTAGAAACGCTTCATATCAGAATACTAGTAAATAAAATAAAATTATTAAGTGCTTTGAAGATACGGGCTAATTCATAGTAATATCCATGCACATTTTATAAAATTATATAGAGATATAGATATACTTTTATTTTACTACAAAAAGATAATCAAATTTCTATTAACAGATGAAAACAAAGCCATTAGGAAAGTAACATACCTGGGGAGTAAACGCAAATATACGATCATTCAAAGAATACAATTTGCTAGTACTGAGAATGCCAACATCACGCGATTTTCTTCCTGACAAGCCCAACTTTTTGTTACGTCCTGGAATTAAACATAATTACCATTAACATATCATGCTTCAAGTATAACTGTACAGTTCAATGTTCTATTAAAACTGAACATGTGGCTTAAAACTGGATTCATTTTTGATGAGAAAATTTTTTTTCCGTTACTATTAAAGTTGTATAAATTTCTCAAAGTTACAAACCCAAATAAGTGTAAAGATGACTTAATACTCTTGCAGGTTGAACTTCTATAGGTGCTACTTCACTTATTGTCTGAACATGTAAGTCATATTCTAACAATTTGTCTCTGATCTCATTGTCTTCCGCTAATATGACAATCTGAACAACCACATCTGGCTTTTTCTCTGAACACAGTCTTCTGTTCAATGGATCTAATTCACCAACGGCTAGAAAACCCTAAAACACACATAAAATTTAGGTGATATTTATTTATCATTGGCAGATGTTTTGGTTATTTTTTGTCATTAGTTTGATATTTTTACAGGTTTTTAGGTCAAATATAAATAATTGTGGCATTTTATTTTGTTTTATTGAAGATAGATTTTTTATATTGTAATCGTTATTGAGTAACAATTAGAAAGAAAATTATCATCTAATTTACACAAAGTATACTTAGCAAATTTCACTTACCTCTTGTAACAATTTCCCAAGTATGTACAATGACTGTGCCCAAATAAATGGACATCTACCAAGTGGTATCCTTTCCTGACTTCCGGGATTGCATTGTTCAGCATCAGCCTTCTCAACAGGCACAGAATATAACTCCGGAACAAGTTTCATTCCATCATCTTTCCTTATCATTATCTTTTCCAATTTCTGCATATATTCTGCCACATTGTTTTTGTCTCCTTGGAAACAATAGTCAAGTATGAGATAACAGAAGAATAATGGCCATTCACATTCTATGTTTTCAAACATTCTCAACTCCCATGGCTCATAATAAAGTCTATTAGGATCTTCTCTAGGTGTTTTGTGACCATCTCTTAAAAATCTCTTACATCCATATTTCCCTTGGAGTTTTGTTACTATTGTATCTCTAGTTTTAGCTATAAGTTGAGGATCATCTACTGCAAATGCTGGATAGCTTATAATAGATAGGAGACCTGAATCTAATTCCTTACTATTTGACTCTCTAGGCAACATAGACTGTAAAACAGCTTGACATTTCTGTGCCTCATCTGCCAGAACATGTATGACACTTGAGGGACCACCACGGGCACCAAATAGATCAAGTTCATTCATAGCTTCCAGTGCTGCTTTTGCCATTCCAATAGAGCTGGCATTGAGTTCGGGTAAACCATGATTTGTTTTATCACCGCGCTCCCAAATGCCATAATCTGGTGTACAGTATGCAGATTCAATGTAAAACACTAAATTTTGAATAAAAGCAACTTCATCAAGGGAGAAAACAATCTGTAAGCCAGATGCAGTCATTTGTGCTAGGATGAGAAGATATAATGAAATTGCATCAATTTGCAAATGACCCCATTCATTATCTTTGACCACTATACGGCCAGTTATTGATGAATACTTAGCATGTAGTGAATCCATAGGATGTTGTGTAGTCTTGAATTTTTCAACTTTATCTTTTTGTTGCATCATTGCCATCAACAAACCTATAAAATAAATGTATATTTATCATTCACATAATATGAAATAATAATAATACTTTAAAACAAATTTGTTTATCTTACCTCTCATCAGTTTTACACAACTTTGTTCCAATTCATATGTTTTTGCACGATCTTCATCTTGATCGGCAATTTTCTTGAAAGCCATCGATAGCCCCCAGACCGCCAATATACAATAAAGGTTGTCTCTAATCCACGCATGATCATTTTGAGGACTTGCAGGAAATAATCCTGTAACTGGTTGCTGATGATCTAAAATTAACTTGTGCACAAGTCTTTGATAATAATCCAATCGGACACCTGAATTGCTGCGGGTTCTCATCGTTCTTTATTTATATGCGCAGTTTTTAAATATTTATAGAACTATTTAAGTGGCCGCACACATTTTAGCAAAACAATGAATTCTGGCCAAACAAATCTATTTTATTCAATATGTCATTTGAAAGTCGCAGAAAGTCGAGATTGTCATTTATTGTCACTGTCAGCTGTCAGTGCAAAGAAATTGTCACTTGTCAGTAGTCATTACAGAGAAAAAATATTTTCAATTTATAAATCTCCTTTAAAAGATAAACATTCTCATTGATCCTTTCAATTAAGCTTTCAGATATTTAGGGTTATTATATTCCTGTTAAAGATGACATAGTAAATGTAAATAAAAATGAAAACAAAAATCACCAAATGTTTTTTCACATTTCCAGACGAAATTCCGTAAACCATCAACGTCAACTTCATTGACAAAATATTTATATGTCAATCAGAAATGACATTATTGAACAAAATTACAAAAGTTCGATGTTTTGTTATTATTTCTTTTTTATAGTTTCATTTTTATTTTAAAATTGATTTTAAATTTGTTTTACAATATGTTAATACTATTTGTTTTGTGTAATATTTTGTGGATTCCGAATATATTCGGAAATAGCATAACTTCGGTAGCTCCTAGAGACAAATCGAGTAAAATCGTCTTGCAAGAATCTCATTACGAAGATTACAACAAAACAAATTTAAACCTAGCAAGTGAAGGTGGGTCTTTATTACCTAATGCAGTAGTTGATATTGTACAATTGCCGAAGGATAAACACAATATTCTTCTGAGTTTGGATAATGAAATAGGTAAAAATAAAGAAAAATCTGTAGTAGCGAGAAAAGGAGTAGTATACAGCTCTGCAGAAGATATACAGGTCCCTGCAAATGTTACGAAAATAGATAAAAACAATGGTACTCGCCCTAAACAAGTTGATATTTTAAAAGATATTATAAACCCTAAAAAAATTGCTGCATTATCGGTGACAAATCAGAAAATTATTAATAACAGTGTTCCCAAAGACGATACTATTGAGAAAATAAATAAGACTGAAACCCCTAAAAAACCATTGGTGTTATCTAATGAAGCATTAGATCAAATACCATTGGTAGATTTTGAAACATCTTACCCCAAAGATGGCCATAATACTAAAGTACCGAGGAATCCAAATAGCCATCCTGGTATGATTATGCCAATTGTTATTACAATATTAGTAGTACCAATGTTTGCTGTTGTTGGATATCTTGCAATAAAGAGAGGTCAAGAAGCTTGGAAGAACAGACATTACAAAAGAATGGATTTCCTTCTTGATGGAATGTATAATGATTAGTTTCCGTCCTGCAATGTATTGAAATCCTACTTAAGATTTCAATATACATGTGAAAATTGAGTAGAAATATTTTTAACACTGGTACAGATTATGTACATAATTTTCTATGGAGTGTCTAATAACCAAATAATATAATGGATAGCTAATCAAATTTAAAACATAAATTTTTAAATTTTGTCAATTCTTAGTTTGTGTAAAATTTTCAACTTTCAGGAAATAGTTCAGTATTAATTGTGATTTAATGTTATGTATGATATTAAGGGATAAATTTAGAGAACGAAGTTTATATATTCGGAGCAATAATAGATAAGGGTTGAAAATCATTGTGATGACATAAAATAAGCTAATCATAGGACTTTGCATCTATAATATGGGATACATAAGTGCTAAAATGTGCCTTTCTTTGAAATGACATGATATATTTTTGATAAACTACTTAAAATGTCTTCCTGTAAATTAAGATATATAATGATGTTGTGATATACTCAGATTTTAATATGTTGCTAATTATATACAATATTATTTGATAATGTTTCGTTTTTATTCATTGTAATCAAAATGTGAGTTTTGCTTTAAAATACCTTTAAGACATTATTTTTTATGTTCCCCATAATTTAACCTTGGCCACCATAATGTAATAAAACCGGTCAATGAACATGTTTTAAAACTCTGTTGATAAATGTTGACCATAAGTTCCTACTTCCTACCACTTCCTACTGCCAAAACATCTTTATCTGGTATGTGTGACCAGATTTAATAAGTATCTGTTTTTATCAGGAATAAAAATATGCCTGATAAATGATGTCACAGAATTTATAAAAAATTAGTTTTACGGCGAATCTCATAAAAGCTATGCTATCGACACTCATGTTTTTGTCCTGTATATTGTATGTAAATATGCAAAACTACCTGTTTGTGGGTAAAACAAAACTAAACTTAGTGGAAACTACGAAGATGATGTATTAGCAATACACAAAATGAGAATTTATTCTTTCAGAACATTTAAACAATAATGACTAAGAAAATGGACCTCAAATAGAGATCGTTCATTTGATTTTTTCTGTGATTCCAACCGTTTTGTTTTACAAAAAACAAAAATAACTCAATTAGTTAATTTTAGTAGAATTTAGACAATTGCGCAGTAAGGTAAAAGTGACATCTGGTCACATTAGTACAATTGTCATAAATAGTGAACAGAGTTTTGTGTGCTGGTGGATGTTGCTAAATATTTTTCATTTCAAGGAAATGCCAAAGAAAAACTGTTTCATTTATTGTGACAAAAGTAAACGATTTAAGTGAACTAATAGTAACGCTTTGCCTGGAAACAGTTGTGTCTTATGAACTTGTGTAACCTTGGGACAAAAAGTAAGAGAATATGATCTATTATGTATTTAACTGTGTTATCAGGCGTTAACAATTAATTAAATGTTTTGAAATAACAGTCAAGTCGAATCTTAGCCAAACTCTTTTTATATTAAAAACAATTATAAACTCAGTTATGCTTTATTTGTCTTTGAATATCGTATTTTAGTATCAGCTGTTCATTTAAAGAAAAAATGTTTTTGAATAATGTAAATTAATCATTTTACCATGTAATAAATATTAAATTAAATTTTAGTAATTGCATTGTGTTCTGATTAGTGTAAATTATTTTACATTAAGTTAATATTAGTTTTTATTAAGAGTTCACAGTAAAATGTACATTATTTGAGGGAATATATATTTTATACATTTCATATCATTTCTAGGCACACTTGGTAAATTTAAACTATAGGTAGTTAATTAATGATGACTATCTGTAAAAATCATTCAAATATTTTATGAACAGGTTAAAGTTAAAAAAAGTAGAATGGAACTAACATAAGAAGGAAACAATGAGTGCTCAAAGTGGGTGTGTCAGTTGTAATGGAGGTTCAGAGTTGTATGACAATAAGCATGAAGCAGACTGCTCTGAAGGGGAGGATGCCCAGATTAGGCTGGCTCCCCATGTCCAGGCATATCTGGCACATAACAATCCCACCACCAACTGCTGCGGGTTTGCTATACCCATTGCCTTTGAACGAGCAGCACCTGGAACCTGGTGGAACCCTAGATTTGACTCGGAAATACTTGAAGGCCAATACAGAAGTAGTTCCTTTAGGCAAATTAGGTTAAGATTCAGGTAAGTTTTTTATTTCATTAAATGTTTTTTCAAGTTTGTGTTGTAGATTGTTTTTTATCTTTATAATGTTATTTTATAGTTATGTAACTTTTCTTTTTCAGATTTGCACTTTTATACATTTTAATATTTTCTATATCATGGTTTGTCTACTTTGTAGTTCTTGGGCTACATGGCATTACAGTCAAGTGGCCATTTCTGTGTTCAATATTTGCTGGAGTTGTCTTGATAACATGTGTCATGCTATTTATCACATTTACTGATATTTATAAGATTTTTACATTTCGAATCTCCTTGATAATGGCATTGGCTCTTTGCATCCTCAGTTTGTCTCTTGTAACTTTGACCACACAACTGGAAACATCTTTCCCCCAAGTGGCAGATATAAGCCAATCAGGACATTTTACTATTTGTATTGAGATACTATTGATCATATATACATTGACACCTCTGCCTTTGTTTGTATGTGTTATTATTGGGATATTGTACTCCATAGTTTTTGAAATCCTTAACATTATCCTGCATTTATCTGAACAAGAATGGCAATATCCCGGAATGTTTGTGAGAGTTCTGCTCCAGCTTTGTGTGCACATAATTGGTGTTCATATTTATTTGATGACTTTTGTAAGAATGCGTGGCACGTTTATGAAAGTAGGGCAAAGTTTATTGGTACGACGACAGCTGGAGATGGAAAAACAATTAAAAGAGAAAATGATTCATTCAGTTATGCCACCAAAGTTAGCAAGTTGGTTAATGGAGGAGCAAGTGTTAGAAGGTGAAACTAACTTTAAAGCCCAACATCCACTGAATCCCAGAACATCGAACCCTGGAGCTGGTGATATCAAGTCATTATTCAGGCCTTTCAACATGAGCTGTATGGATAATGTCAGTATTTTGTTTGCTGATATTGTGGGCTTTACAAGGATGTCCAGTAACAAAGGTGCTGAAGAATTAGTGAATATATTGAATGATTTATTTGAGAAGTTTGATGAGCTGTGTCATATACATGGATGTGAGAAGATTTCCACTTTGGGAGATTGTTACTACTGTGTCTCTGGATGTCCTGAGCCGAGACTGGATCATGCTACATGTTGTGTTGAAATGGGACTTGGTAGGTATTGATAAAATAAAAGTGGATTTATTTATGAAGAAGATCGTGAATTAATTAATTACCGATATTTTAGGTATGATAGAAGCAATTCAAGAGTTCGATAGAGAGCGTGGTGAGGGCATCAATATGAGAGTAGGAGTTCATACTGGAACGGTTTTATGCGGTATTGTTGGTACACGAAGATTTAAATTTGATGTCTGGAGCAATGATGTGTCTTTTGCCAATAAAATGGAATCGACTGGGAAACCGGGCCGCGTACATATATCGGAGGAAACGAGCAAATTTTTGGGAGGTTCCTATGTTCTAGAAGAAGGCGAGGAGGTATTTGGTTAGTAGACTTCTATTAATTTAAGCATGGAACCCTTAGTTGTGTTTTATAAATGTGTTGAATGTGTCCAGGTCATAAAACCTACTTCATTGAGGGACGTCAGCTTAATTCTCCTTACGACCATGATCAATGTATCACACCTTCCAATCCTATTAATCCTCGTCTCATCATATCTCCCGCAGTTTCCCCGCAGTCAAATTTCACCTTTAATCACTCGCCCCTCCCGCTTACTGCGAAAACACACGCATCAGACGACAAGAAGAGCACCAATACTGATACCAATTTCCTGTCCCCAAATCCATTCAACTTTCGAACGAAAGCCAGTTCGTTGCCGAGTATTCTTGACTCCGACGCTGAATTGGATGAGAAGAGAGAAAAAGAGTTCGTTGAAAGTAACGATACTTCATCGAAAAGCCCAACCTCTGTTGGTAAGTATTTTAGAATACTTTTAATTTCAATAAGTTGCTTTTATTCGTGTGAATAAATCAAGATCCAATGTCGTTCATTACGTTTATAAATTTTTAGTATAAAATCTTTTTGTATTAATTATTTTTATATAATGGTTTTGTTTCGTATATTTGAACGGTCACGCTCTGATTGTGTACATAGCGTGATGAGAAGCAGTGGTCTTATTTAAAAGTCTTAGTTATCAATGGCATAAGGCACAAGTCACAGATAAGATAAAGCGTGACACTTAATTGCTCGAAGGTGACGCCCCGCTAACTATACGCTCAACTATAGAACAGCGATATCGTTTTCATCCATTCTATTATTTAATTGCTTCGTTAATTTTTTTGCAATCATTAACACTACAACTGGTTCTGATTTTTATAAAGGTATTATATAATAATGTAGGGGTCCCTACATTTGCTAGTGCAAGAGAAAATGATCACATCAATTCCACAATCTTGCGTAAAAGTAATTAATCTTTCATCTTCGACGTATTATTTTCTCCAATTTCTACGTGACGTGATTGCAACATTGTTTATTAGGGACATCGATTGACCAGTGTTCCTGACGGAGCACTATCTTTTATTACGGAAATTTTATGTAATGTGCGTGGAATGCGTATTTTGTTACTGATCCTCTTGATGATTTTAAATATCAAACAGTATTTGTAAACATAACCCTCACTGATTTATTTTTCCCGTTAGCGAGGTTAAGATGTATAAAACGTTCTAATAAAATCTTCAAACAGCTTTTTAAAATAATTTTAGAATTTCAACATTATTTTTTTCTACTTAAAACAAGTAGTCATGGCATAGCTGATACAAAATATTGCAATTTACAAAGAATGTAACATAATATGTCTCTGACTCGATATGAAATACAATATCTTTTTCTGCTAACGTTGCAGTTTATATACACACGTGAAATCAAAACCATCCGTGCTGCAGCAGAAATATAGCTAGTCATATTTCGATATCTTTATAACTACATAGATTGTATTATATAGTCTAATATCTTCCATTAGAATCTTTAGCTGATTTACCGCTGTAGTAGATTATGTTATTCTTTTTCCATATTTTACCGAAAAACTTTCTTACGTAGATAACGTCTATCAAATAGTTTGCGCAGCTCCGACACCGACGTGCTAAACGACAACACAACACACATTATGTGCTCTCGTTACGTGTCTTATTTACTTTCGTGATGATTCGCAAAACAAATAATCACACAGCGCTCGCTAGTTTGTTATTCTTGGCCATATAACATGCTTTATAAGAATTTACAAGCATCGGCCTTTGATAATTCCGGACGCTCCGATATTATTGGCCGTAAACGAAATCACGTTAGCGTTTTACGCGTTTTATTTCAGGCAGTTACGGCAAGTATACGAATAAACTGAAAAATTGGAAGGTGCCCAGGTTTCTTAGGAAACATTCGGACACACCGCTCCATGAGATGAAGAAGCAGAACTTTAGCGACAAAACGATACATTATCTGGAGAGGGGGGATGAGAATGCTACCCAGTCGAATAACGGTTACCATCAAGTGCCTATTGTGATAGAATCTCAAGATAGTAAACAGAGGCCTGTGCAGAGCAGCAGCAAGATCCATGTGCCGCAGGGGCAGGATATGGCCTCCTTTGAAAGAGAAATTATCGACATCCGATCATATTTAAGTCAATCGAGAAGTAACATGTCGCCATTTGCTAGAAGCAGTAGCTACAGATCGCATTACGGGAGGCCGAATTTAGAGGTATGTAAAAAGTAATATCGTTGCTGGTTTTAGAATGTATTTGCTATTTAAACGATTACAAATTGTGCATTTAGCTACAGATGATAATCACACGTGCAGAGGATTCCGCTTATCTCCTTTGTATATAGTAGTACTATTTTAGTTCTGTGTGTACATTTCACTTTTAGATATGATCCTAATGACTTTCTCGCATAGTAAGGCTCATGTTTATAAAACAATGAAATGAGATTATTGTCTCTATTTGCATGGAATATGCAACTAAATTGCAATACTATAAATAGCACTTTTACATAAATCCATTTACTCTTGGCACGGGCACAATTCGAGGATCAATGTATGCACTAAATGCTTCCAGTCAGCAATTAAAAGATTAATTATAATACAGGATGCTTAAAATTCCAGTATGATTTGTATTATTTTACGTAAAATAAAATGATAAAGTACCATTAGTGTAATAGAGTTACAAAATACGTTGTAATGTTTTAACAATATTAAGAGAATAGCAATTAATTTACACACGTTTCAACCTACAATAAAAGTAAAAAAAAATATGATTTATTCAAAAAGTAAAGCTACTATTAATTCGGTATACTGGCACCACTTTAAAAGTGTATTAAGTAAGAGACAAGGGATTGATATTAAAAATCGCATTGTGTAAAGGAAAATAGGTTGTATTGAATTACAGAACGCTGGCATCGTGGCCTAGTTCATTAGGGTGGCCTAGTGCGCCCGGAGTGGCGTGGCATTACTAGGTATGTGGGTTACACACATAGCCTGTACGGGAAATATCAATACAATACTAACAATACTGCACTGATCGTACAGTTGGATTGTATGCAAAAACTATTCAATACATATAAAGAGAGAATGATTTCATGTAGAACTTTTGAACATTGTAATTGTTTGATTGGAGCAAACATTTTAGTAACATACTGTATACGTTCTAATTTTTTAGTTGAAGTTAATACCAATATGGTTGAAATGTACGCGCTTTTTTTAGTAGTTTGGAAGGTACTTACGTCATAGGTCGGCAAAACTGACTGCCAATTTGATCCAAAACTTTGTATTGCTTTAACACAATAATATGGACTAAAATCTGATGAATCGGCTTCCTCGATAATTTTCCATTAGAATTATGACATGATGAGAAACAGTGTACCAAAGTTCATATTCATATACATTTCATGTAATTGATGTGGAACTTTAATGTGTTTTGTTAATTCATCATATTTGAAGTCTTCTAAGAGATATGACCGCGGCTGGCGGACTTTGCTGCCAACATATATTGGTCCTGTTTGTTTTAAGAAATACAGATAAATAAATTGGAACCTTTTCTTTATAAAGTAAGGTGGCAAACGACCAAGCGGTCAACCGATTTAGCTTATATAGCGAAGCGATTTTCAACTATTTATTAGAGCAAGTTAATCCATAGATTAGATATAAATATATTTCAAGTCAAAAGTACATCCGTGACCCAGTTAAAAGAAGGATTATATAGTTCAATTTCAAACGGCTTCTCCAATTCACTTTCCATCAAGCACATTTACAGTGACGACAGTTTGCGAAATGACGAAAGTTTGCTAAATGAACGACTAAAATAGAACAAACGAGATTAAACGAAGTACGAAGTTGCTAAATTTTCCCTTTAAATCCGATCCTCGGGGTTTCCTTACGATTGTTTTGTGAATGTTGGAAATTTTTACGACTAACTAACGACATTTTTAAAGATATTGCGCATACCAGAAAGTGTATAAACAAGGGAAACATGTTTCTTAATGTTTTGAATTAGTTATGTTGATGTATGTTTTTATTTTTTAATTTAATCTGTTTAAATCTTTATTTAAAATACATGTAGATAAAATGTATTTGAAAGTTTTTTTTTGTGTTTTTTTTTAACATGTAACGTTAATGAACTTGATCGTTGTGTAAGCGAGCCGGTGTTCTCAGTAAACTTGTGCATTTTGCAATACAATTACGTCACTATGATATGTGACCTATGACCTGACTGACGAACGTACTACCTTAAATTGCAATTGGAAACTTCCATTGGAATTAAATTACATCCAATGAATGTTACAAATAAAATAAATTTTTAGACGCCAGTGAGCCGTGCACGGAGTTCTACCCTGGCGACTCAGGGTGAATTAATCCGGCCGAAGGATCGCAGATTGAACCTTCCCCTGCCGTCCCAGTCGCCCAGGGTACAAGACGATTCGGTCAGTCTGTGCCCATCTGTCAATAGTCGTAAGGACTCCGGTATAAGAAGTACCAGCCGAAGGTCCAGTATACAACAGCAGGTATGTTGTTACCATGTGCTCAATAATCATAGTTATATTAAAGTATGTTAAGATTCTTTAAGGTAAACGTTATTCTAGGAAAAATGATTCCCGCAATGTATTTATGATATTATCTCTTCATCAGATATGACTTCGTCCGCGTGAAATTAAAATATAATAAAATAGACATACTCTATGTTACTCACAGATAAATTACCTGTCTAACGGTGAAAGAATTTTTCATATCGACCCAGTAGTTTTTTAAGTTATTTCAATACATACAAAAATACAGATCTTTTTCTTTATAATATTAGTATAACATAGAGTGATATACACAGTCGTTACACATTGATTCAGTGACTAACTTTTCGGAATAAGTAATTCCAAAAGTTCTATAAAAACTTGTATTTATTATTGTATTTGCAACTCAAAGCAGCTGCGAATGGACGCTAAAATGTCGGTATAATTGTTACTTTGAATACTTGGTAATGATTTACTTTGAGTTACGACACCGGTTTACGATCTATAAAATTGAATATTTCAATCATTTTATAGCGTGTCAACAGAACATTGATTGCACGTTATATCGTACGCTTACTGTTATTTATTATCCAGCAAATCATAATAAAAACGTTCACATTTGCCCTTCAGGTGATTTTTTAAATCAGTAGGTTTTATCCAAAAAGTCTTTGTATTAAAAATGAATCATCCTTGATTTTTTACAACAGGATGTTATTCTATTAAAATTATTCGTGCACATCGTCGTAAAATTTGTTAAGATTGTAATTATGCTTGACATAAAAGGCTCCCGTAATAATGTATTTATTCTTCTCACATCTTTTATTTTATCGCGTAACAGACAACAATAAAGTTATAATTTCATTACGGGTTTCTACATTTGGTTTCAATTACATGTAAAAGTATCAATTTGTATTGATAATTTATTTTAATACATCGTAAATAGTGCGATTATTGATTATTCGCTATAAAATTGTTACATTTTTTATACTATGACCATGAAATTAATTTCATGCGTTTTTCAGATATTCGCACTCAATCAGACGGCATTAGCGACCTCGCAGAATGACATAATGCAGCACAGAGTGTCCGGTTATTATACGTCGAGTCAATCGTCATTGAATGATATGCCGTCGCGAACTCGCCTGCCGCCGCCGCTCAACGAGCAACAAGTGCAGTCCCTGCAGAAGCTCCGCAAGCAGTCAGATCTGCAGCTCATACGATGTGTCCAAGACAACGCCAGGTCGGGAATCAGTTACTTCGTCCAACCACCTTTAAACACGTTCACACTATTCTTCAAATCACCAGAAATGGAGAGACATTATCGTGATAAAGCGCACAGAAGCGACGACAGCGAAGATTTCCCACCCACTTTAACAACATCCAGATTTAACACTGCGTTAGATATACTTGTTTCGGCGATCATTTTTGTTGCTGTTACGATATCGATATTCGTGTTGTACTCTGAATGGCGCCATTCATACGGTTGGGTCATATTTTTCTTTGTCATAGAAGCTTTAGCGATATCACTCTGTGTGTATCGACATTACTTGAAATGGAAAACTAAGAACGAACCTCTAGTCACCAACACAATCAGGCGATCCGTTAAGATATTTAGGAAGCTCTCAGATTGGTTCCCCTGGCATCTGTCCGGCAGTCTGCTGATCAGTTTGCCGATATTGGCCGTTCTGATTAACTTTTCTTGTATGAACACAACGATGACTATACTCAAGGGCGAGCAATCGTTTTACGTTTACCTCTTATGCATCGGAATAGTCGAGTTCTGTAACTTTACACAAATGAATTGGCTCGTGAAGAACACTTTGGTCACTTTGTACGCTGGGCTGTTTCTGTTCTTCGCAGTGCTTGGTTGTCGCGAAGTTAATACTC